CCACCACACCCGGCTAATTTTTTGTATTTTTTGTAGAGACAGGGTTTCACTGTGTTGGCCAGACTAGTCTCGAACTCCTGACCTCGTGATCCACCTGCCTCAACCTCCCAAAGTGCTGGGATTACAGGCGTGAGCCACCATGCCCAGCCCATTTTCTTATGTAGAATTAATTTTCATTAATCTGGAGCAGTTCTTTCTATACTAATAATACACTTCTGTCCTTTTCCTGCCTGTAATTTTCTAGTCTTTTGTTTACTTTTTTTTTTAATTTGCAACACAAATTTAAAATTTTTTATGTAGCAAACGTTATTGATGTTCCCCTTTGTAATTGCTTTTAGGCTTCAAAGTGATTATACTGCTTTCGGCTTAGAAAGTTCCCTCCTGCTTGAAAATCAGTTATACAGGCACCTGTATATATATATATATATATATATATATATATATATATATATTTTACATATTTTGGGGTATGGTTCATTAATTACCTCTAGCCTCTTACTCCATTTGGAATTTCTAGTCTGATAACAGTTATAAATACTATAAATTGGCACAGACTTTTTAGAAAACGTTTTTGAAATATGTACTAGACCCACAAATGAGTTGATATTCTTTGCCCCAGTAATTGCAAGTTTTAGAATCGAATTTAAGAAAATGACAAGGCATGCATCAGGGATTTCTACATGAAGACAGTCATACCGATGGGGTTTACGGCTGCAAAAAATGGAGATGGCTGAAAAGTCTGATGGGGGGTAGGGTGAACAAGCATTCTGCAGCTACATGCTCCCGTGTGGTAACTATTGGCCACATATAGCTAAATTTAAATACATTAAAGAATTTAATTTTAATAAATTTAAATCTAGATTTAAGCTTAAATAAAAATTCCGTTCCTCACTTGCATCAGCCAAAGTTGATTTGCTCAACACCCACGGGTGGCGAGTGGCTGCTGTACTGGGCAGCACACGTGTTAAACATTCCCACTCTCACAGAAGCTCCTGTTCAACAGCGCTGCTCTCTGGCCATTAGAGTCAGGTTTTGAAAGAATATTTAACAACGTAAGATGTATTCACGATGTGGTGGTGAATAAAAACACCAGAATAGCAACTATTCGGTAGTCAAGGAATTCAGACTGGTGTCAGTCGAATCACAAATATCTTCAGCAAGTTATGTTTGTTCAGAGGAAATAGAAACCCTGACCCCCAAAAGCTTTTTCTTTTTTAAGGAAAAGAAAGAACATCTGAAGATTCACAGGTATCTAGGAATTAATGAGAAGCCAGGGGAAACCCAGCACATGGCACCCACCCAGGAACTGTTAAGTGATTCAAAATCCAAATGTGAATTATCATACCGGTCATATGTCAGCCTAATGAACACTGTATTCTGTGGCCCACAGTGGTCTTAAAAGAAGCCATGATTATTCCTCTGTCAATATCTATCATGTAACCATCAGAGTCACAAAACAACTTGGTCAATAAATGGCATTTAGGAACTTGTAGTACATAGGGCCGGGTGTGGTGGCTCAAGCCTGTAATCCCAACACTTTAGGAGGCTGAGGTGGGCAGATCACTTGAGGTCAGGAGTTCAAAACCAGCCTGGTCAACATGGCGAAATCCCATCTCTGCTAAAAACACAAAGTCCCAGCTACTCAGGAGGCTGAGGCAGGAGACTCACTTGAACTGGGGAGGCAGACGTTGCAGTGAGCCAAGATCACACCACTGCACTTCAGCCTGGGCGACAGAGCAAGACTCCATCTCAAAAAAAAGAACTTGTAGCATATAATGCAAAAAACTTTCCAGGTATTTGATAAAGAAGGAAAGGCTGGTGTGGCCTCTAAAATGTCAATACATATCAGCCACTATAAGAGAATGCTTTACTTTGGTGTGATGAAAACTTTGGGGAAAAACTTTGAGAAACCTGTAAGTAATTTGAGCCCTAAGGGACTCGCAAGTTTGGATTTAGCAGACACAGACAAGCACGTTTACTGTGCTTGAGAAAATATAAAAGATTCAAAACTTTGTAAAAAACTGAAAACCCTAAAACAGCACAGAGATTTGAAAAAGAACTGAAACAAACATTTTCTTTGGCTTCCCAGTAAGAACTGAAAAAGCTAAACAAATGGGGTTAAAAAAATTCTTTCAAGTAACAGAAAGCAAACAAAACAGTGAGAAAAAAAGAAAATCTGGCTTCCCACAGTGACTCACGGCTGTAATCCCAGAACTTTGGGAGGCCACGGTGAGCAGATCAAGAGGTCAGGAGATTGAGACCATCCTGGCTAACACGATGAAACCCCATCTCTACTAAAAATACAAAAATTAGCCAGTCATGGTGGCATGCACCTGTAGTCCCAGCTACTCAGGAGGCTGAGGCAGGAGAATGGCTTGAACCCAGGAGACAGAGGTTGTCGTGAGCTGAGATTGTGCCACTGCACTCCAGCCTGGAAAACAGAGTGAGACTCGGTCAAAAAAAAACAAAATCTGAGAGAAGATGCAAATTTTAAGAGGTGAGATCAGCATTCAGAACCATTTGTGTCTAAAGGATGTTTGTCAAGGCCGAAGAGATACCTGAGAGGCTGAGCATCCCCTTTGTAGCTTGGAGGGTACTCTAGCAAACCCTCTATACTGTGTGCAAAACAGAACTACACCAGCTCTTAAAAGAGCTTCCAGCCATCTGGGCTGCCCAAACACCTCAGTCCCTGAAAATGGACTAAGGTAATCCCAGGTTTTAATTCCCCAGGTACATGACAGAAACAAGCCCAAACCTTCTCTAGAGGAATAGACCACCATCCTAGGCCTCAAACTACTCCTACAAACAGATTTTTTTTGAGACAGAGCCTTGTTCTGTCACCCAGGCTGGAGTGCAGTGAGTGGCATGATCTTGGCTCACTGCAACTCCGCCTCCCGGGGTCAAGCAATTCTCCTGCCTCAGATTCCTGAGTAGCTCGGACTACAGGCATACACCAGCATGGCCAGCTCATTTTTGTATTTTTAGTAGAGACAGGGTTTCACCATGTTGGCCAGGCTGGTCTCGAACTCCTGACCTCATGATCCGCCCACCTCGGCCTCCCAAAGTGCTGGGATTACAGGCGTGAGCCACCACACTGGCCCAGATTTTCAAATACAAGGTCCATCATTCGATCACTGCCAATGTAGAATACCATACCTAGTAAAAATGATCCTTACAGAATAAAAGTAAAATAAATCATTTTCAGACAAAGGTAGAGAATTCTTCACCAGCAGATTCCCATCTTCTAACAAGATACTCATGGATGTTTTTCATGCAAAAGCAAAAGAAAAGGAACCCCAGATGGAAAGTCGGGAAGGCAGAAGGAAGAAAAAGTCATAAACTTGGAGCAGTTGGCAGGCTGAGCTCCGGACGAGCAAGTGACGCTAAAGAGCCACTAGAAGCTGATTCACAGGGCAAGGTTATCCTCCCCCTACATTATATTTGGCTTTCCTCTAAAACAAGCTTGTCTGCCGCAGGCTACAGGCAGTCCAGGGTGGCTGTGAATACAGCCCGACACAGATTCATAAACTTTCTTAGTATTGTGAGATATTTTTGGGAGTTTTTTTGTTTTTTTAGCTCATCAGCTATTGTTAGTGTGAGTATATTTTATGTGTGGCTCAAGATAATTAATTCTTCTTTCAATGTGGCTCAGAGAAGCTGAAAGATTGAATACCCCGGCTCTAAAAGAAAATAGTTAAACCCTAGTCTCACATCATATTTTGGAATGGATTTCTTGCTCTATTGGAATGGAGGAAAACCAGATGCCATGTAGAAGACACAGATTTCGCTGCAGGATTTTTAAAATGTAAATGGCCAAATAAGCCGTTCATAAAGTACTAGATTGAGAGAAAATAGTTGCAATAGTTTACCAGCTAGGAGCAGTTTTAAGTGCATGTGAGGTGGAATCTAGAGGTGGACGCAGCTGGGATAGAGTTTGTATGAGATTGGAGATAGTGTCTCACTCATTAAATCACAAATGCATTGTGAAATGATTAAAAAAATAAAATAGGCCAGGCATGGTGGCTCATGCCTATACTCCCAGCACTTTGGGAGGCTGAGGCAGGTGGATCACCTAAAGCCAGGAGTTCTAGACCAGCCTGGCCAACATGATTAAACCCTGTCTCTACTAAAAATACAAAAATTGGCCAGGTGTGGTGGGGCATGGCGGTACTCCCAGCTACATGGGAGGCTGAGGTAGGAGAATCTCTTGAATCCAGGAGGCAGAGGTTGCAGTGAGCTGAGATTGCACCATTGCACTCCAGCCTGGGCAACGAGAGCAAAACTCCATCTCAAAAAAATAAATTAAATTAAATAGATAATGAATTTTAAAAGACAAACTAGGAGATTTATGTTTTCGATAAATCCAGAGATATTAGCTGGTCTGTCAGCCAGTAGCTCTGTTTTCTATTATGTGAGTTTGAAATGTATCATAAATGCAGGATGCTGACATTTATGATACCAGAATAAAATAAGAAAAATATGGTCATATTCTCAGGAAATTTAATTTTTCAGCATAAGCTACATGACCCCCGAATGTCTCCCCACCACCCTGGAATTTTAAGATTTATCCTAAATTCTGTGACATCAGTCCTGATTTACCAAGACCCGAGTTCTTTGTTCTAAGGATAGGCCACAGGGGCTTCCAATGACTCCATTCCACTGTTCTCAGCGGAATCATCACTGGACAGAATTACTCCCATCAATGACAGTGCTGAGGACTGGCCCTGTCGATGTATTCCCGTCTCACTTACGTTACCCACTCTGCCAGTGCCCTTTATTTCAAGGTGTTTCTACAGCAGGTCCCCCTGCTTTCTTAAAACCACCAGCTGAAATGACAGTTTATGTCAACGACTTAACTGAATCTGCTCGGGAATGTTCACAGGCAGGAATCAATGGATGGTAAAGCCGACATCTGGCATCTACTGAACTTTATTCACAAAGCAGGTCATTGCCCCAGGCACAAGCGAGAGAGGAATAATGGGCGGTCGGCGCTGGCTCACCTGCCGGAGTTTGGTTCCCACCATGGATGCGCTGCTGTCAAGCACGAAGACCACATTCTTGGGTAGAGGAGGAAGGTCTTTAGGTGCAAAGTAGTGCACAAAGTAGCCATTTAGAACCTGGCGGAGGGAAAAGGAAGTACAAACGCTAGTGCCTAGAGTAGGGAGGAAAAGGACCGAACGTGCGTCAGTCTATGGAATTTCTGAAAGCTACAGCATGATAAAGGTCTACGGTCAGATTCCACGCCTGGAGCAAAGTTATCCAAGGCCCCGATCCCTCCAAGAGGACGAACTGCTAATTTAACCTGCATAAGGGTAGACTCTTCCCTTTGAAGTTGATCAATGATGACTACCTGTTCAAGTTTAGCTGTCCATCCCCCAGACCTGTGCTACCTGAGAATCCTGCTTCCTTCATTCTCGGTTTTTTATGAAGCATCTTACAAGTTGGGACGTCAAGAGTCTCTACAGTCTGGATGAAATTAATGGGTTTTAATATCCCCACCCTGTCTCTGGAACAGTAAAACCTAAAGGGAAATGAGCAATTTCTTTTAATTAAAATGGAGCATGGGCCAGGCGCAGTGGCTCACGCCTGTAAGTCCAGTGCTTTGGGTGGCCGAGACAGGCGGATCACTTGAGGTCAGGAGTTTGAGACAAGCCTGGCCAACATGGTGAAATCTCATCTCTACTAAAAATACAAAACTTAGCTGGGCAAGGTAGTGGGTGCCTATAATCCTACCTACTCAGTAGGCTGAGGCACAAGAATCACTTGAACTTGGAAGGCGGAGGTTGCAGTGAGCCAAGATCATCCATTGCACTCCAGCCTGGGTAACAGAGTGAGACCCAGTCTCAAAAATAAAATAAAATAAAACGGAACATGAACTAAAATTCTAATTTCATCTAAAACACCACAGGGAGCTTTATATTACAGAGTTCACTTGCTCTGCAGATTACTGAAGCCAGAAATAGGTACCCACAGCAAAAGAATACCACTAGTCTCTTTGAAGAAATATTTTGAGTTAAAACAAATTTACTAACAAGCAGAAAGTTCTCTCTCCCTTAGGTAAATACTGGAATCCACAGTCTGAGTCTATCCAAAGTATCAACCAACCAGCATGAAAGAGCAACAACGATCCCATTACCTGGATGTCCCCAACGCTCTGTTCCCTGCTGACATCATATCTGATGATGAAGTCTCCCAGAATTCCATTCTGGGCAATCTTGGCCTGCTGTACTACGCTAGGTTTAAAAAGAATGTGGGCAAACGTTTCATTTTGGTTGATGACAGTAGATGGAGGTGGCCCAGAATCATCTACAAACAAGACAGAAACATAGTTAATAACTGAATATACATTTTTCCAAAAAGAAATAAGAACTATTTGCAGACACAGAGGGTTACAGGAACTTCTGAGATTGTGCCCATATCACAATGCGAGATATGTCATCATGTAGTTCCCTTTTATGCCTCCTTTTGAACCTTTTCTTTTGAAAATTTTTAAAACACACGAAAGGAGAGAGAACAGTCAGATGAACCCCATGTACCCATCAGCCAACTTTTAACAACCATCGGCATGTTCCCAATCTTTTGCATCTGTTTTTATCTATTCCCCCACCATTTTTTAGTAGAGTGCTTTAAAACAAATAGCAGGCACCATATTTCATCCATAAATACTCCTGTGTGTGTCTTTACCTATAAGAATTCTTTCACTAATATAATCACGAGACCATTATCGCAAGTAACAAAATGAATGCTCTATGCCCTCTTATTACCTAATTCTCAGTTTGCATTTCAGTTTCTCTGATTCTCTAAAAGGGGTCTTGGTATAGCTGAATCAGGATCAGGACCGTGTCCCCAGATACATTTCATTTCTGTTTCTTGCTTCTGTTGCTCTCTAGTGTCTTTGCCCCACCTCTTTTCTGATGCTACATATATGTGATAATGGGTCGTTTGTTCTATCTCTTATTCGATATTACTGTTTTTTGGTTTTTTTTTTGAGACAGGGTCTCACTCTGTCACCCAGAGTACAGTGGCGCAATCATAGCTCACTACAGCCTCGAACTCCTGGGCTCAAGTGATCCTCTCACCTCAGCCTCCCAACTAGCTGGGACTACAGGCACACACCACCATACCTGGGTAATTTTTTTGTTTTTTGTAGAGACAGGGTCTCGCTATGTTGCCCAGGCTAGTCTTGAACTCCTTGGCTCAAGCCATCTGCCTTGCCTCAGCCTCCCAAAATTCTAGGAGTACAGGCATGAGCCACCATAACCAGACTATGGCTCATTTAAAAGAAAAAAAAAAAAACCTCAAAGCTTTTTAGCATGAACTTTAGGGTAGAAATTAGAATTACAGAAAGATAAACAGATAAATGGGTGTTACGCGATTTAGGAAAACCTGGTGTGATGACTGTTTAAGCACTTCATCCTATCTTTTACTCCTGTCCAGCATTTCCTGTTAGAACACAGAGAATCACTCAGCAGACGACTCACATTTATAACCCAAACAACACCGTATCTATGTATTTAGCAATAAACCCCAGAGGATGAGGTCTGCATGCACCGTGGAGAATATGAAAATATAAACAAGAATTCTTAATCATAAGTGCATGTGGAGGCTTTTTATCCAGATATGGAATCAAAGCCAGACTTGAAACTGCTGCAGAGCCTCTGATGATCTTTTTAAGTGTACTCAAGTTGATAGCACGAAATAGGCTGACCAGCAATTTCCCATCTCCAATTAGCAGAAAGAAAAAGGAAATGAGGCGTTAAGTGGCCACAGTAATTTGTACTTAAAAATAAACTTCCTTCTTCTGAGGGTTTATTAGACACAAAATCCAAAGGAAGTTTAAACATTTCCTTTAACAAAACAGATAATTTTTTTTTCAGAGGCAATTTAGGTGTAACCTTAACAGGAACCACAAGGTACAACAGATTCTTCTATTATTTGCATGTAGCAAGGGTAGGGATTTTGGAAGTGATCAGAGAGCCAGCAAAGAGAACAGTTTATTCCTGTAGGGAGACAGTTACATAAGAGAGAACATGCGTCCACAGATCTGCTCGTCGGAAGGAGCTGGGAAAATCCAGACAGTACATGGAGAGGTGGCACAGTCCTGGTCACTACCAGCATGGTTGGAGATGCCTTAGAACCATTAAACAGGAGAAAGAAGAGGGTGCTGAAAAAGGAAAAGTCCTTGAAATGAGGGAAACTGCATGCTGTCCAGGGTCAAACTCTCATTGATGGTCACTGTCAAAGCACCCAGAGTGACAGGCATCATAATATATCAGCGAAGAGCACAGGAGCATGGTCAGAGACCCACATTTAAACATTGGTTTCACTTCTTATGAGCTGTGAAGCTTTGAGCAAGTTCCTGAGCTTTGGTTATCTCATCTGTAAATGGATTAATGATAGCACCAATCTCACAGTACTGAAAAGATCAAGTGATGTCATGTACTTAGCACCATTCCATTTCACAGTCAGCAGTCTTGCTGGCTTATATCATTACTATATTAGTCTGTTTTTACACTGCTCTAAAGAAGTACCTGAAACTGGGTAATTTATACAGAATATAGGTTTCATTGCCTCACAGCTCCACACGGCTGGGGAGGCCTCAGGAAACTTACAATCATTTTGGAAAGTGACGGGGAAGCAGGCACATCTTACATGGCAGCAGGAGAGAGAGAGAGAGAGAAGGGGGAAGCGCCAGACTTTTAAACCATCAGATCTATGAGAACTCACCACTATCATGAGACCAGCAAGGGGGAAATCCACCTCTGTGATCCAATCACCTCCCACCAGGCCCCTCCTCTGACACACGGGGATTACAATTCCAGTTGTGATTTGGGTGGGGATACAGAGCCAAACACTTTCCAGTCTTAACTATATAAAATAGAAGGAGAGGCCAGGCACGGTGGCTCACGCCTGTCATCCTTTGAGAGTCCAAGGTGGGTGGATCACCTGAGGTCAGGAGTTCAAGACCAGCCTAACCAACACGGTGAAACTTCATCTCTAATAAAAATACAAAAAATTAGTCAGGTGTGGTCGCAGGCATCTGTAATCCCAGCTACTCAGGAGGCTGAGGCAGGAGAATTGCTTGAACTGGGGAGGCAGAGGTTGCAGTGAGCTGAAACTGTGCCATTTCACTCCAGCCTGGGCAAAAAGAGCAAAACTCCATCTCAGAAAAAAAAAAAAAATAGAAGGAGTAATTAAATATACAACTATAAACACAAGTCAAACTTGGGATACCACAAGGCAATAAAAACAAAAGAATACTGCTATTTAGAACATGGTTGAATCTCACAGTCATCTTCAGTGAAAATACCAGACACAAAAGGGCATGTTCTCTCTGATTCCATCTGCATAAAATTCAAGAGGAGCATGAAATATCTATGGCTACTGGAGAAGAACAGTGCTGGCCTTTGAGGAGCAGCTACTGACCAGAAAGAGCACAGGGTAATTTTGAGGAAGGGTGAAAATATTCCACGCCTGGATGTGAAAGGCAGTTGTATGGGTGTATACACATGCAAAAATTTATCAAGCTGTATATACAAGATTTGTACTCTTTATACTGTATGTACACCCCAGTTTTTAAAGTTTAAATTTATTGTTAGCAAAGTAGATTACACAGCCATTCCCCAGCATGGAACATACAATGTTATTTGCCAAACAGACCCCTCTCTGCCCTTTTTCTTAGGATGAATGTGCATGGGCAGTTATTAAATGAGGATTAGGTGTGTCCAGAGCAATTCCAGCTGGCAGAATTATGACCAGGGAGAGAGTTTCTGGGGAGCACTTTTCAGCGCAGTGTCAGTGAACCCTAAGAAAGCCGTCCTGTTGGGACTGGCTGCTTCCACAACCCATCCCATTAGAAGGGCTCAAGTGACCCCTGGAATAATCCTCCCACCCCACGAGGGTGTAGAGCGGTTCTCACTATGATCTTGAACCAGCAGCATCAGCAGACCCTGGGAACTTGCTAGAAATGCCAATTCTCAAGCCCAGCCCAGAAACTCAGAGTCAGAAACTCTGGGGCTGGGACTGTCATTTGTGTGTTAAGGAGCCCTCTGGGTGATTCTGGGTTTTGCCCATAGAAAATAGGCATGTACCTTACACACGGTCTCTGTGCTTTACACATAGAAAAGAGTCAATAAAACGTGTTGTATGCAATTAAGCAGCACTTAGGTTATCTCTAAGATTCTACAATAATTAGATTCAACTCTCTTTATGCTGCCAGCATGTTCCTACTTAATCTTGCTTCCAGTCTCATCTTTAAAATGCTTTTTACAAGTGCCCTGAATTAATACCATTCATGGCTGAATAAAAGCACTGGGTACTAAAAAGTGTAATTTCTCTCCTCATAATTCATTTGACTGAGCTCTTTGATATTGCATGAGGAAGGATACTGTATGTTTATTTTGGTTTCCTAGTGACCCCCGGTTTTACTAGTTCATGATGAAAATTCATGAGATTCATCTAAATGGGCTTATTTTACACACCCAAAGAGTGGGCTGATCCTCAGTTTGGTTACACACCGAGGAGCCTGGTTCCCGACACCAACTACCACCCAATAAGAATCAGACAGTAAATCACTAAATGTGACCCAACAAATTTTCCACTACATTTTTTTTTAAGTTTACTGGGAGCAATTCCAGAGGAGCATCTTTAGAAAATAGAATCATCTTTTTATTACAGGAGAAAAAAATCTGTTAAGTAGGTTTATGTGGGCTGCTCCACCGTTACTGACCAAAATCCCAGAGCAGAGGAACACAACGTCGTTTCCCTTGCTGTGAACGGGGGCTCACCCTGCTGACCGCCGCAGATATTTCCTAAGCACAATGAGTGTCACCCGCAGAGTCCTTAGAGTCACAGGATAATACAGACTGTAAGGAAAGCGATTGGTGCAGACCAAAATAGAGGAAGAATCTGACCCACTTGTCTAATGAGAACCCACATCTCTCTCCTCCTGTGTGTTCTCTCCTTCTTGCCCACTCCCAGGGTGAGCTGGAGCAGCTGCCCCGATGTGGGGGAGGCCAAGTCTTCGAATGCCATCTTCCTGCCTCCATGCAGGCATTGGCGGTCCCATGCAAGACAATCCCAGAAGCACACAACTGCCCCTCCCGCCCTCGGGAAACTTACGCTCTTCCTCCACTTACTGACTCTTCCCTGCCTCTCAGGCCACCAGGGTTCCCAGGGAGCTCTCTTCTTTTCTAAAGCCCAGTATTTTTGGACAAGGAGCTTTGCGTTATCTTTGCAAACGACAGAATACCAAAGAGAGTGGGCTGTAGAGTGTGACTGAATCAAAACGACTGACTTAATATTCC